GATATACCCTGATGAAAGCCATTATTTTACGAGTGCAGCGCTTGAGCAACACTTGTACAGGTCGGTGGTCAACTTCTTTGTGGAATGCTTCCAAGTTCAGGACAAGGTGCCAATAGTCACGCTGAAAGAAGACGAGGAGGAGGATTAGTCCTTCTGGTCCGTGCCAAACACAAGGCCCTTCTCTATAACAATATGCAAGTAAATCCATTTTCCTGGAGAAAGAAGTGTTATGTCGTTAGCATGTATTTAAACAAAACTGAAAGCAGCCCGCCTGCTTTACAGGACAGCAACTCCTTCCTGAATGGAAGAACATTAAGCATGATGAACTCAGCAGAACCTGCTGTCAGAAGGAACCCATCATAAATGACATCACCTTTTTTGCCACAAAGTGACTTCTGGAGTAAAAGACTCAAGAAATGGGACTTGAAGGACCACCCCAAGAAACCACCTTGAGGATTAGAAGATGAGATGGCCCTTAGCATTCAAGCAATCAAGCAGTAGCAATGAATTCCACCATCCGTATCACGATTACCATAGTCAGCATCACATTGCATCAGATAAAACTTAATACATGGAAAAGATTATAGCACAATTATTTTAAGGTACTGAAAGTACTGGTTCATACAAATTTGCCTGTTGTCTCCCATGCTTAGAAGATTCGTCATTTCCGTGGGGCATACAGATTCCCATTGTACAAAGTGTCGCTGTGGTTGCTCTGATGTTTACCTTGATGGTGTTAATTCGTTATTTACCTGTTGTTCTGTTTTCATTTAGTCTCATGCTTATCTCAGAAGTGTCTCCGCTTGTTCGAGGTGAGCAGAAAACACCCATGTCAATGATTAGATCAGTGTTTCCCCATGGGCCAGAGGCCCCAGTCTGGGGGTCATGAGAGAGTGGTGGATGTGGGAAGTAACCCAGCAATGACGATTTTGGTACAGTCTATTGCAAAGAAAATCTTGCTCCCCCACTCCCGGCCTAGTCTTACCCCTCAAGGTCAAAGATTCTCTGTCAACTCTTCAAAACACGCACAAAGGAAAATTAAGATTATAGGCGTGTCCTTGTCATCACCGATGCATTTTTACTCTTAACTTCTACAGTGAGACGGGCACGCTTTTTTTTTTCCCCCTTACTTTGAATAACTCATTGCCAACCAGTTGAGAGGCTGAACTAAACTATGGTAGTGGGAAGTGTATCAGAAACTTTGCAGATCATCTCATGAAGCAGTTAAAAAAAAAAAAAAGAGAGAGAGAGGGAGGGAGAGAAAAAATCTGTTTGCTTGGATTTGTTGTACGCGCCGTCTGCAGCTTGGTTTTGATTTTGGTTCCAACTCAGTGATTATTGTATTTTCAGCACTTTTAATGATCTCTTCTGCTTGCATTAGGTTTATAAAAAACCCCAAAAAAAGAAAAAAAACCATAGTGTGCGCGCTTGCAAAATGCTTAACCCACATTATTCTTTATGGGGTTGGGAAGCAACTTTCAAAAAAACCCGTGTTGGAACAAAAATTTCTATTCTCAAAAACCTTTTCATTCACTTCTGGTTGCCATATCATGAGGATTTTGGCTAGTGTCGCTCCTTGTAAAATATTCTGACCAAATGTACAGCCAGTATTAATACTGTATATTTCATTTTGTTGTATATAAAGGAATGTAAGTCAATGACTGGTCAGGTCCCCAATGCAGTATTAGTCTTGTGTTGAGCATGCATGCTATAACACTCTTTTGCTGATCAGGACCCTTTAGAAGTACTAGCTTGGCAGTATAACAATTAATGTGATTTCTTACATTGTTTTGACAGCTTGAATGTCAATGCAGGTTTCTACATTTTTACATAGTACTGTGGGCAATCTTGCATCCTGCCAGCAATGATGATGTTTCCCTGGTGTTCTTTAGGAGGTCTCTGTTTTGTTTTCGGGTTTTTTTCCCCTTTTCTTTTATGCTTTGAACGTTGGTTGTACTTGACCATCACGGAAGATATACTGGTAAACAGAAACAATCTAGGTTGGTTTTGGTTATTTCCTTTCATTTACAGTGCATCGACATTTTGTGAACCGGAATCCGCTTTTTCAGGCAACATGCCAAATAGACGATAAGACTGCTGCGTGTCCAGATTTTGCTACACCCAACAGGCTCAAAAGTCTGACATGAACTCGAGCTGAGAAATGTAAAAATCTGCTCTGTCCACAATCTTTTGTAGAAAGAAATTTAGGATGTGGCATGGTAGTGTTTGTTCATCCATGGAATAAAACATTATTTTACCACCCTGGGTAGCTATCTTTGTTAGCTAGTTAGATAAGGAAAGAAATATTTAGTTGTTGGATGTGCTGTTTTTAATCGAATCGAAAACCAGGACACTAGGGTGCAGAGGCAACGTACTAAAACATTTCAGCATGAAATCAGAAAACCCACTTCTTGTTCATATTGCCAGTACACGTCTGCTGCTTCTGACAATGATACAGGAGTAAAATATCAGGGATCTGATCCAAAAGTTGCCAAGGTGACAGCAACTGTTACCGCCCCACCACCACCCCGTCTTCTCTGGTACCATGCCCTTCTCCGTATATCCTGTCGTCTCCCACTCACTTCAATAACTTAATGTCACCCCAATTTGTACCTGCCTTGTTGGACCTCTCTTCAAGGGCACCAGCTGATAGGAGTTTTGATACCAAGTACTACCAAGCTGCACTGACCACAACAGAAGATGTTTAGCACTTTCTCTTTCCTTGCCCTGTCTAGAAGGCAATCAAGCAAAGAGTCTCCAGGTGGAAGTGAAAGCCACTTGGGACTGCTCCTGGCCCCAAGGTTGAGATTACATATTACAACTAGACCATGTTAAGAACATGTAAAACGGGAAGGGTCACACATCAAGGATCATTAACAACTGCTACGTGCCCTCTCAGCATCTTAAAGTTATGCCACTTTGGGTGAGGATTATCTTTGAGCTGTGCAACCCAGCTTGAGTTAATTTAATTTCTGGCTGTTCACCTGAGATAAAACCACCAATTTGCAGTCCTCCCCTATCTCAGGAGGCACTGCTCCCAAGTCGACTAGCCATTATCCAGGACTCTTACAGCTCTGGACTGACAGCTGGGGACAACCAGGCAGTAGATGAGTGAGGAGGAGGAGAAAAGGGTGAAACAAGGCCAGGGGCAAAAGGGCATGAGGATGGGGGAGTGGGGCAGGAATGGAGAGGGGGAAAGGGCTAGGAGAAAGGGTGAATCGGTGGGTGGGGAGCTGCTGGGCTGCACCCCTTCTTACTCCCAGATTGCCACCCTGCTACCCCAATCAGTCCAAGAGTGGGGGGGGTCTGCTAATTTTAGTCTGCAATCTCACCCTTAACACAGATGTCCTCCCTTTCCGTTCTGCTAATCTACCAGGCATAATACCTCTCCCTGTAGGGTATCCTGCTATCCTTGGATTTAAGTGAAGCACTAGGTTTCTTGCCTTTCCCCCATCCTTAGCTCCAGCATCTGCCCAACCTGGGAAAGACTCCTTTTGTTGTGTAAGCTTTGCTGGATTTTCCAAGGTTCCCCCAAGGTCGATGTTCTGGTTACCCCTCTGCCCCACTTTGCCTCCCCTCCCCAACCCCCGACCAAGTGACCTACTGTCTCCCCTTCAGGTCAAACTTCTAGTTCAAGGAGAGTTTTTAACTCCACATGCACAGAGCTTATTATTCCTTTGAAAAGCTGGGGTCGGGTGCTTGCTACTTGATTAATCAGCCTCTACACGTTGGGGGGGGGGG